CTTGTAAGTTGCGAAATCAAAATATATAAAATGTGTAAATGTAGTAGAATCTAAAGTAGAAAAAATAAGGGCTATTCCAAATTCTTGGATTGGAGGCACCTAGAAAAGGGAAACATTACCTTATCCATAGTTTTGTCATTTTTTGAGGAGCACCTAGCGCAAAGATCAACAAGCATTTAACATCTAACACTTGAGGTTTTGCGAATATCCTACGGCGTGCGGGTAAATATGCAGACCTTGCCACACAATGTGGTGAATCAATCGTTTTACCAAGGAGGGTTTGACTGCAAAGGCCTTCTAACAGCATCAGCAATCTACAAACGGTAAAGAGGTCATAATCTTTCACAAGAAAAAGGAACTCTGTGAGTCCCTGAAAGCGTCCAATTGCTAGAAGCAATCTTTCCACGGACAGGCAGACACAGTCATAAACTAATGGACCTTTCTGCGGTTCATCCCTCCTTCCTTCCTTTACTTCTTCTTTATTTTCTTTTTTTAAAACCGATGTTTCGCATAACCCTAAGGCTTCTAGAGGTGCTTACTTCAACTAAAGTAAGTCTGACTTAATTTTGTCTAGTTTTGGATACAAATCCCTACAGACAGTGTGCTGGTCGCCTAGATCAAATAGCCACTAGCGTTATGAGAGGTGGAAGGAAGGCAAAGGAGATGAAGGAAAAGAAGAAAGCAAAGATAAGAAAACAAAGATGAGGTTGAGGTGGAAAGTGTGGCAGAATTGAGGGAGAAAGCGAAGAGCAAGTATTTGCCACGACAGGACTAGGAGCAAATGCAAGAACCAAAGAAGAGGTGGATAAGGCGTTCTTGAGGGAGAAGGAATATTTCACGTTGCCTGAGCATTCATACACATGCATCAGTTGCGTCCCTGAGTCTCCATCAATTCCGCTTATGTTATCTCCCCCTTTGCCTTTTATTTTTTGTCGGTCATTGAATCTATCCGAATTGTAGATCAGGTAGCCAAGATGCAGAAGCACAATAGTTGGCAGAGGCGCAAGTTGAATTGAAAGCAGAAGAAGGGGCATTGTGAGCAGACCACGCTTCTTTCCGTAGCATATAAAGTACGTCGTAATTTGTAGCTTAAAGCACTTTACGAAAGTGTCTCTTCTGTATGTCTAAAGTGAAAGCTGTCCCACTTCATCCTTTTCTTATTGACCTCACCTCATCCCATCCCATGTCTCGTCCCTCACCTCTAGCGATTGCGGTAGGGAAGCCGTATCCTCCGTGGCGTACTGAGGTACTACGACACCCATTCTACTGATGCCTCCTTGGCCCATGAAACAAGGATTGAGGAGTTAGCGGTGTGGATGTAATAGGGTGGAGTGATGAACGAGGAGTGGGAAATGGTAGCAAACCATCCTTTTTAATGTTCGAGATACATGGAGCTCGTTAGTCGTATACGCGAATGTAATATTCATATGTGCAGGTTTATTGTTAATTTGATATATGGTCAGAGGAGGCAGATAGGTGGAATGAGAGGTTGATGAGGAAAAGCAGCAGC